CACCCAGTGTGCTCAGGTCTTTCTCTTGGCTCTGTGGTCAGGGATCACTCCTGGTGGACTCAGGCAGGGGCCAGGTGGGATGCTGGGGCTTGAACCTGGGTTGGTAGCATGCAGGGCAAACACCTTACCTGCTGTACCCTCTCTGGCCTGATTCCTTCTGAGTTTCTGCAGTGAGTTTCTATTTCAATTATTGTATAGATCAACTCTAGATATTATTCTATTTTATCTTTTCCGTATATACACTTTTTTTTTTCACTGTCACTTTCCTCCCGTTGCTGCTCGAGCGGGCCCACTAACATCTCCATCATGAGACTTGTTACTATGTTTGGCATATCAAATATGTCATGGGTAGCTTGCCAATCTTTGGCATGCAGGCAAGATACTCTTCGGTAGCTTACTCTCCGAGAGGGGCAGAGGAATTGAACCAGGGTTGGCTGGCCTGGCTGTGCGCAAGGCAAACGTCTTACCTCTGTGCTATCACTCCAGCCCTTTGTGTGTGTGTGTGTGTGTGTGTGTGTGTGTGTGTGTGTGGCGGGGGACCGGGGCGGGGGTGGGGGTAGATGAAAATGCACATCCTCCCAGAAGCGCAGATAGTGGCAGGTCGGAGCCTCCCGGGCACAGGGGACATAGTTGCAAGGTGCCACCGGCGACGCTTGCTTGGGGCAGAGAGCAGGCCAGGGCGTTCGGCCGGGAAAGCACATGCGGAGTAATACCCCCCCCCCCAGAAGCCCCCCTCTGCCCCCTGAGAAGCCGCGTCCTCAGATACTTATGATGCTAAAATTTTTTTCCAAAAATATTTTGATTTGTTTGGGGCCATAATCAGCTGTGCCCAGTTCTTAGTTCTGCCTCTGTGTTCAGGTGTCACTCTTGGTGGTGTTCAGGAAACGTATCTGAAGTGCCGGGGATTGAGCTGGGTCGGCTATGTAGATGCAAGTCCAGTGCTTTGTGTGTCTCTTTGGCTCCTCTCATGGTTTTCTTTGGTTCTTTGTACAGTTTTTTAGCTCTTGGCCTGTTGTTCTGTATTATGCTCTCTCTTTCTCTCCCCTTCTCTTCATTCCCTTTCTCTTCCCCTCCCCTTCTCTCCCTACTCTCTTTCCCCTCCCCTCCCCTCCCAGCTTGCTCTTAGGGCCATCCTCATGTCCCAGTGGGGGACAGAGGCAGTGGAAGGAGACATGGTTCATTATTGGCTGTTCTTTGGGGTGTGACTGAGCTCTTCAGTCAGTCTGTTACTTACCTTCCTTGGAGCCATAGCACAATGGGTAGGGTGTTTGCCTTGCACGCGGCCAACATGGCCAACCAGAGTTTGATTTCTCCGCCCCTCTTGGAGAGCCTGGCAAGCAACCAAGAGTAGCACGGCAAAGCCTGGCAAGCTACCCGTGACGTATTCGATATGCTAAACACAGTAAAATAAGTCTCACGGTGGAGACGTTACTGGGCCCGCTTGAGCAAATCGATAAACAATGGGAGGACAGTGACAGTGACAGTTTTTGGGTTCCACCCTGTGATACTTAGGCCTTACACCTGGCTGTGCACAGGGAGCGAATGGGATGGTGGGGAGCGACTCCTGGCTCAGCCCCATGCGCGGCTGGTGTCCTGCCTGCTGTCCTGTCGCTGACCCTCAGTCTGTTCTTATATTTCTAGAGTTCAGCTGCTCCAAGGCAGTGTTGGCTGGTTGTCTTTGCTAGTCTTTGTGTCTCTTCACTTCTCACTGGACCTTGCAAGAGAACTGTAGCTGTAAAGATAGGGCAGTTTCCCCCATAAGCTTAAGATTACAAAATAGTAAAACATTCTAGTGTAGATGTCTACCACCTTTAACTGCACAGAGGGGGAATAACCATAGACCATTTTATGGTAGGAACGCTTTATGTTCTGCTTACTCCGTTGGAGACACTAAAAATTGTTTATGCCTTTTGTTCTCAGAATAGTCTGATCAGTTAACAAGGGTATCATCATTTTAAAGAGAAGGACATTAAAGTGTAAAAATTGGTTAACATGCTTAAGGTTACATGAATATTAGAATAGATGGTAGAGCCACGAATCAAAACAGGATGATTTTGTGTTGGAGTATATGTTCTAAAGCTTTCATTTCTGTATTGTGGAAATTTCCAAATATAGAAATGGTGTAATGAATGCCCTGCCTGTATATATTCCTCCTTCAAGATTCTGCCTCTCTTGTTTTCTCTTTCCTCAAATTTGTGTATGATTTAGATAGTTGAACGCTCTTTCTCAGTGTTTCATGTGTTTAAAAAGAGTAAGTTTAAAAATATAACCAACACATGACTATAGCAACTATATAACCAAAAATTTTAAGAAGAAAAATCATTTGAAACATCACCACTTATCTGTATGTTCACAGATAAGACTATTATATATTGTAATAGTCGAGGAACTGTATGGTAGCGGAGGAACTATATAGTAGTTTCTCTTCCAAGGGTTCAGTGAGAAGTAAAGAGGAGACACAGTAAATAAAGCCATTATCTAATAGTTTCAGAAATTTATTATGTGATTCAATTCAGGATCTCAAGATGGTTGACATATTTATTGATGTTTCTCTTAATTAAAACAAAACTTATATGGGTTCCAATAATCTTAAGTTTAACTTTTAAAACTTTTTTAAAAATAAGTTGTTCATGTTGGGATAATTTTAGAGAGAAAGCTTGCACAGATATTACCGAGTCTGTGCACTCCATCTCTCCCTGCTCCAAGAGTCTTCTCCTGCCATCCAGAGTCTGTGTTCCAGCGTTGCTATCTCTTCCTTTCTCTTACTCAGGGTTCCATTAGTCTGTGTCTCTCTCCTTTTCTGTTACCTGTGATCATCTCAGTGCCCTGGAACTTCTCTCTTTTCTGGAGTCAGAGCCCAGTCCGTGGCCTCACGTGCAGTGAGTTCCACCTCCGAGCTTCATCCCTCACCCTCACAACCTGGGATATATTTTCCAGCTTGAGAATTGTCGTTTCACTGTGTAAGTTTAAGGTATATAGCATGGTTTGATTTATGTATTACAAAATGATCACTGTAATAGGTTTGGCTAACCATCTTTTGATAGAGATAAAAGAAAAAAGAAGACATTGCTTTTTGTGAAGAACTCAGGCTTGGGGGCTGGAGTGATAGTACAGTGGAAAGGGTGCTAGCCTTGCACACAGCCAAACTGGTGACATCCCATATGGTCCCGTCAGTACTGCCAGGAGTGATCCCTGAGTGCAGAGCCAGGATAATACCTGAGCATCACTGGTTGTGGCCCCAAAACAACATTACAAAAAACCTCAAAACCAAAACCCCCAAGGACCCCAGAGTGAGGATTTATTACCTTAGCAATTTTCCGGTGTCCCCTGGACTCGTGATCATGGAGGCCATTGTGCTGCATGATGTGCCTCGTCTCACAGCTGGGCGGGTAACTTGACTACCTTTCTCCAATTCCCCTTCTACCCAGAACCTTGAATTTTTGTTTGTTTCATTTTGGGGCCACACCCAGCAGTGCACAGAGCTTACTCCTGACTCTGTGCTCAGGGATCACTTTGGCCGTGCTCAGGGGACCATACGGCTTGCCTGGGATCGAACTCTGGGCAAGTGAGTGCAAGTAAGCACCCTGCCTGTTGTAGCGTTGCTCTGGCTCCAAACCTTGACAGTTTTTTAGGAGTCTTGATTATTAGGTAGTTTGTAGAATGTCCTAAGCTGTGAATTTCTGGAAAACAATACCATAGGGGTAATTGTTTTGGGTTGTTTTTGTTCTGAGGCATCTTCTGGCTCTGTTTCCGAGTGGCCGCTGGCGTGCCTGCCACTGGGAATGGTGCTGTGGAAGCACAGGAGATTGGCCGTATGGGGGCGAGCTCGGGCGTCTTGCTTCTTCAAGTCTTGAAACTCTATTCATTATTATTACTGTTAATGTTTGTCACACCCAGCGCTGCTTAGGGCTCTGCATTCAGGGATCACTTCTGTTGGGCCCGGACACCAAATGGGATGCTGGGGACAACCCAGGTTGGCCCCAGCTGGCACCTTACGTGCTGTGCTAGCTCTCCGGCCTCTGCTTATTATTGCTTTTAATTACATATAACTCTTAAGTCCTAAAAGTTGGCATCTATTGAATTCACCCTTTCAGTGTTTTTCTTTTATCCTGGTAGCACTCACAGGCCCTTCACTGTTCTTTCTTTGTTTTGGGACTGCATCTGCAGTTCTCTGGCTTTCTCCTGGCTCTGAGTTCAGGGATCACTCCTGGTGGTGCTTGCAAACAACCCAGGTGGGCTGCATTCCAGGCAAGCAGCCCCCTTGCATACTGCCATTCCAGCCCTCTCATCTTGGCACACACCACGCACCTCACCCTGAACACACACACTCAACATTAATATCCCTGTTTCAGTCCTACTATTTTTTTTAATTTAGTCACAAGAAATTAAAAAATTATTTATGTTTAGGCTTCAGGCATATGGTATTAACACTCAACCCTTCATCAGTGTCCACTTACCCTCACTCCCATGCTCTTCCCACCCACCAGTCTGCTTCTGTCATAGGCACTGTTTTTGTTAACACCTTTTTTCACCATGTTATAAGCCCCACTCTTCCAGGAAGGGCAGCTGAGCTCCTGTTCCGACGCCAGTGTTAATAAACCGGGTCTTTAGGGCAGCCCCCAGCAGGGAGCTACTAGTGCTCAAGTTGGCTTAATGTTCTTAAGAGTTACTTGTTCTGCTATTTGGGACTTAAAGATTCACAGCAAGTAGCCGCAAAGGGCTAGACATAACACCAGGAATGCCCCACATGAGTGTGTGCGTGGGCTGGGGTGGGAGTTGAGAGAGGCTATTGGTCCTGGGCGGGGTGGAGGAGCGCACTGCCGAGGGCTGTGGTGTTGATGTAATGGTGGTCATAGGGAGCCACCGTTAATGGTACTGCAAAATCACAGACAATAAGAAAAGGTTTTTTTTTTTAAAGTTACTTTTTAAAAACTAATAGAAACATTGCTTTTGTGCTTTAAAAATGTTAGCATATGTAACTCCTTTTTTTAAATTCACAGATCTTTTCCAATTTGTCCCTGGATGAGCGCTGTCTTTCCGCATCGTTGGTTTGCAAATACTGGCGGGATCTCTGTTTAGATTTCCAGTTCTGGAAGCAGCTGGATCTTAGTAGTCGTCAGCAGGTATGGAATCTGTTCTAAGAAACAGCCTTTTAGAAAATATTTTTAGCCCACATCACACATCACTTCTTTGATCCTGTAGTAGTTTTCGAGACAGTTTAAAGTGAATCTGACTTATATTTATATGCTTTATTTGTTTTTCGGTGAATCAAGTTAAACTAGCTTCTAATGATGTAAAAGGTGATTTTTAGTGTCATTTTGGCTACTTTTTATTTCCCTGTTGTCCATTTATCTGTCATTTCTTTTATTATTTAAAGATATTAATAGGTTTTTGGTTTGGCGGGGTCACATTATGAATATTAGCTTAAATGGTAGAAAGTGATGGCACACATTTATGTAGTACTGATTTGTCATGTATTATTCTATAACTTTATACTATTCTATAACTTTATACATATTAATATATTATTTGATCCACCTGCCAATCTTATGGGTTGATGCTATCATTATTCCTGCTAATAACATGGCACATTACTTCATGTATTGCAATATAGTGCATATATGCCTTCTTACAGGTTTTCTTCAGAGATGAAGAAATGAAAACAAAATTAACTAAGTTTACCTGTAACACTGTAACATCGTCCTCCCATTGTTCATCACTCAAGCGGGTACCAGTAAAGTCTCACAGCAAACTGTGAGACTTGCTGTTACTGTTTTTGGCATATCGAATATGTCACGGGGAGCTTGCCAGGCTTTGCCCTGTGGGCAAGATACTCTCAGTACCTTGCCAGGCTCTCCGAGAGGGGCGAACCAGGGTCGGCTGCATGCAAGGCAAATGCCTTACCTGCTGTGCTATTGCTCCAGCCCTATTTTGTGTTATTTATTCGTTTCTTGGTTTTTGGGCCATACCGGGCAATGCTCAGGGATTACTCCCTGTAGTGCTTGGGGCACCATGTTGGATTCCCGGGACTGAACCCAAGTTTCCTGTGTGCAATGCAAGTGCTTTACCCACTCTGCTATCGCTTTGGCCCAGATAACCTATTTTAATACTTCTTTTGGGGAATCGTGTATTCGTGATCAGCTGCAAATATGTTTTTTTTTTTTGTGGAATAATTTTGGAAACAGAGTTGAGAGTACTTACTGCAGTCATTTTGTTAGACTTGTTGGATTCATTTAAAAAATTTGATTGTCAGTACTTGGCATTGAAAGCACATCAGATAAGAATGTGATTTTATTGGAGAACTCGACCTGTTCCAAATCCTTCCATCTGTTGTTGCTAGTGATGTTCCAGTAAAGATTCACCAGATGTTTTGGTTTCAAAAACAAATGAAAACCTTTGCTGTGTGCTGTTTGCCAGTTTTGGGCATGGCCGGTCTGCGCCGCTGTGAGCTTCCTGAGTGCTGCAGACTGCCTGGCCCGCGTGTAGGTACACACGAAGCCCTGCAGGTCCCTGAGCGTTTGTGTGGTCTTCCTTTTGGACTTTCTCTGTCGTTGCTATGATGTTAAAACTGTTAGAGAATTAGAAATTTATCTTCCCGCTTTCAGAGTTTCTTTTTCCTGCACAAATGGTGTTTAGTCGGTTGTGCCTGGTGGAGTGAGAGAATAAAATGAGTAATTCATTTGCTCTAGCGCTTGCTGCTTACTGTAAAATAACAAAGTGATTCCCTTTAACTGTGAAGGGAATTGTATAAACAAAGATAGTTTTAGCCTCAGCTTTTCTGGCGAGCATCGCTGAGCACAGTTCTCTCCTTTGCCTGTTTTCATTCCCTCATGTATGTTCCATCCCTCCACCTCAGCCTCCCCTCTGTGTTTCTCCTGAGGTCTTGAAAAGTGTCCATACTAGTCTCCTTGTGTCCCCATGTGGTTCTTGGGTAGGGGGTGTATAGATGCAGATTTTAAAACATTCACACACTGAGCACTGCCCAGCGGTTACTTCTGAACACCAGAAGCACTGTAGCACTATCCTCCCGTTGTTCATCGATTTGCTCGAGCGGGCACCAGTAACGTCTCCATTGTGTGACTTGTTGTTACTTTTTTTGGCGTATCGGATATGCCATGGGGAGTTTATCAGGCTCTGCTGAGCGAGTGGGATACTCTCAGTAGCTTGCCGGGCTCTCTGAGAGGGGCAGAAGAATCGGACCGGCTCATCCGCTTGCAAGGCAAACGCCCTACCTGCTGTGCTATTCACTCCAGCCCGAGCACCAGAAGAAAAAAAAATTCAGAAGCCCTGTGAGATTTTCCCCGACAGTTTCCTGCTCCTTCCCGCTCTTGGTCCTTCGTGCTGGTGGTCATCGCACACGCCACTGCTGGGCTTGCAGGGACTTGCCCGCGGGTCACTGGGCGTCAGAGTCCTTTTGTGGCACAATTTGGCTGTAGTGCTCATCGGGGTTGCTTTGGTATTGGGTTGGCATGTGCTGGCCTGCGGTGCTCCGGAACTGACAGGGCCCTGGCCAGGGTCTCGCCTCGTGCATGCAGCCCCCTCCCGGCCTGGCATCACTGTCGGAGCACCAGCTGTGACTTCACCATAGATGAGTCCTCTGAGAAAAGTTCCTCAGTCATTCAAGGTGGACATTTATATCACTGGAGTATTGGTAGCCAAATGATCGCATAATTCCTTTCTTTCCTTTCCCCACTTTTGCCCAAAGTTTGCTTAGGGCCTATTCCTGGCTCCGAGCCCAGGGTCACTCTGGGATGCTCCTCAGCTGCCCACATGGCCAGAGAGCACGGCTGGGGTTGGCCTGAGGCCACTGTCGGTGACGCAGGCGCCTTCCTCTGGGCTGGTCTGTTTCTCGTGTGGGCGGATCACAGGTCAGGCAGCATTCAGACAGAAGTAGTGACGGGTTACACGTGTCTTCATCTCCTGCTCTTTGTTAGGGTCAGAGGGACAGTGAGGGGTGAGGGAGGAGTGCTCTGAGCGCCGGGCACGCAGCTGCCTCAGTTCAGTCCCCGGCACCGGCTCCTCCAGCTGTGGGGACCCCTCGCCTCAAATGAGAATAAAACATTGACTGTTCTGTACAGTTTTGTTTCTTGTGAGTTTTGTTTTGTTTTAGGGCTTAATTAAGGGAAGTTTCCAATAAGGATATATTTTTAGATTTTTCATGTTAAGTAATAGGTACTCTTCTTGCTTGGCAGTTTTTAACACTATTTCTGATACCAAAGGTATGGAATTTTTCTGTTCTGGTGACAAATATATGACACATGTCCAGCAGTACATTTCTGCCTGAAACTGACCTCATGAGTTGACGCCTCATTCCCAGACTCTGTGCCCCAGTCAGAGGCCTGTCACAAGGCCAGAAGCCCCCATACTTTGGACCCACCAACTGTGTTTTTAGGTGTTCCTACAGTCCTCTTTATAGGTTCTCTACTTTGCTTGAAATACTGTCAGAACTTAGGGGAAAATATTTATGTTTATAAAACAAACTGGTTTCATGAAGAATGGCACTCCGGCCTCACCAAATGAAAAAGATGCCAAAGACAAGGTAAGAGCTTCCCTACCTTCACCCCCCACCCCCATTTTAATTTTTAATAGAATCATTGTGAGATACATAGTTACAAAATCTTTCAGACATAGTGTTGGTTTTCAGTCATACAGTGTTCCAACACACTTCCCTTCACCAGTGTGCAGTTCCAGCCACCAGTGTCCCCACCATCCTTTTTGGGCTTTCCCAGCACTTGGATTGTCACCAGCCTGGAAGCTCTTCACACCTCCTGTGGAGGAATTTTATCGTCCTTTTCTTTGCTTCTGCTCCCTGGATGTCAGAGTCTGGAGTCAAAGTAATATATTTCTTAATACACTGAATTCTTGCTATGCTTTATATTTCTTTTTATTCTGTTATATATATGTGCTGTGAGCTATGTGTGCAATAGTCTAATTTCTGTTACTGGGGAAAGGTTAATGGAAGAATAGAAAGTAAATCCATAGTTTAGCAAAAGTTTAAATATGTTGCTTTATTTTTTTTTCCTCTCATAGGTCACTGATGAACTATTGGAAAAAATTGCATCAAGAAGTCAGAATATAATTGAAATCAACATTTCTGATTGCCGCAGCATGTCTGACAGTGGCGTGTGCGTACTGGCATTCAAGTGTCCCGGGCTGCTCCGGTACACGGCCTACCGGTGTAAGCAGCTCTCAGACACGTCCATCATCGCCGTGGCGTCGCACTGCCCCCTGCTGCAGAAGGTCCATGTGGGCAACCAGGACAAGCTGACTGATGAGGGGCTCAAGCAGGTACGATTCTCCACTTAGAAAGTGATTTTACTCTCATTAACCCAGGGTTTTCTTGAAGCAACACTTTTATTTTTTAATTTAATTTTTTGGGGGGTGCCATACCCTGTGGCGGCCCTCAGCATTTGCTCTGGCTCTGTGTTCAGGGATTGTTCCTGGCGGGGCTCGGGTACTGGTGCTCAGCACCAGACATCTGCCCTGCCTCTAGCCTGTTGCAGCACCCTGACAGACGTCATATTAGAAATGCTTAAAGAATAGAGAAAGTCATTTTATGGATGTAGAAATGACAGAAAGTCATTAATGGATGTAGCAGAAAATTGCATGAATTCACCCTTCCTTATAGTTGAGTAATATTCTGATATATATGCACAGCACGTTTTCTGTGTCCACTCATCTGTTCTCTGGCCCTTGGATTGTTTCTATGTCTTGGCTGCTGTGAATAGCTCTGAACAGTGAACAAGGGCGTCCAATTGTCTTTTCGAAATAATGTTTTTGGGCCCTTGGGATAGATTTTATGAAGTGGAGTTGCTTGACCATGTTTTTGAGAGGTCTCTGTATATTTTCCGTGGAGGCTAAACGAGACGATTTTCCCACCAGCAGTGGAAGAGGATGAGGGTCCTTTTGCCTCTTTGCCCCGCCAGTATTGGTTGTTCCCACTTTTGATGCACGCTGTTCTTCCTGGAATGAGTTGGTGACTTGTTTGCTTTCCATTTTCCTGATGAGTGATGAAGTGGGCTTCTTATCTGACTGTCTCTATCTTATTGTATATCTTCTCTGAGGGAGTATCTGTAGTGCTCTCCCCCACACTCCCCTTTTATTTTTTACTATTAATTCTTTGTCATATGTGTGATGAGCAAACATTTCCCTCCAGTCTGTAGGGTATCTTTTAGTCTAGTCATCATTTCTTTTGTAGTGGAGAAGCTTCTTTCTTAACTGGATGGAATCCCATTTATTTATTTTTGCTTTTGTTTCCTTTTCCAGTGCATTGAGTCATTGAAGATGCCTTTAGAATCCATGTGACAGAGTTCCTATGTTTTTTCCACAATGTATTTTATGGATTCAGGTCTACTATTGAGGTCTTGAATCCATTTTGAGTTAACTGTTTCGTATGGTATGAGATAAGGGCCCTGAGTTTATTAATTTTTTTTGCTTGTGGCTAACCATTTTCTTTTTCTTTTTTTATTATGTAGGAGTACTGCTATTTATTCAGCCACTGATTAGCTGATTGAATTGTGCATGAACTCCACCTTACTTTTTTTTTTCATTTTTTATAATTTTATTTATCGAATCACCGTGAGAGCAGTTACAAAGCTTTCGGGTCTAAGTCTCGGTCATACAATGAAACACCCGTACCTTCATCAGTGCCCATTCTCCACCAAAAACCCCAGTGTACCGCCATCCCACACCCTCCCCCTACCTGTGGGGCAGATGATTTCCACATTACTCTCTCTCTACTTTGATCACATTGAATATTTCGACACCAGACCCACCATTATTATTTGAGATTTTACCCCAACACTCAGATCTGCTGAAAAGGCAACAGTAGACAATTTGTGTTCTATTGCTGGTTATGAATAACATATGATGTAGTGTGGCTGCAGTAAGGCCATGTGATTTTGAAATTCTGAAATTTTAACACTTAAAACTGGAGGGATTTTTGCCAAAAGCCACTGGGTTTTGAGATTTTCTCCTGAGTCTCTGGGATCATGGCCATTGAGCAGCTTGATCAGGAGCCAGAGAGGCCGTTCGGGGCAAAGACTTGGGGTCTCGTTAAGACAGGGAGACCAGGACTGGCTCCACCCCCATCCTGTGAAGCCCAACAAGTTTCGTCACTACGGGCCCAGATCTGACTGTCCAATGGCCTCTGGAGGATGACGGCCACCGAGCCGCCAAGAGGGAGCAGGTGGAGGGACAACACCCTTTCGCCCCTGGGGTGACCCGGCGACAGTAACCTACTGCAGGTTCCGGACGCATTTCTGCCAAAAGCCGCTGGGTTTTGAGATTTGTTTCTGAGTCTCTGGGATCATGGCCATTAAACAGCTTGATCAGGAGCCAGAGAGGCCGTTTGTGGGTAATGACTTGGGGTCTTGTTGGGGTGGGGAGGACAGGTCCGGCTCCACCCCCATCCTGTGAGGCCCTGCGTGTCTCCTCACTGGGGGGCCCAAACCTGACTGTCCAGTGGCCTCTGAAGGATGGCGGCCACTGGGCCGCCAAGGGGAACAGGCCAAGGCATGAAACCTATTCCCACCTTGGTTGGCACAGCACCGGTAACCTACTGCAGGGACCGGACGCATTTCTGCCAAAAGCCGCTGGGTTTTGAGATTTGTTTCTGAGTCTCTGGGATTGTGGCCATTAAGCAGTTCAATCAGACCATGCCTCCAATTATATAGCTGAGCTGGAGGTGGTTTGTGGGTGTGTCTCCCACATACCTAACTTTTGGCCGTTTACTTTCTTGGTGAACTTTGCCCAAAGTTTTTGGGGACTGGCCAAAGGCACAGCAGCAATTTTGGGGTATCAGGAAGTCTAAAGGCGCCATCAGTCTGCTGATGCACTCGCCTCACAGGTACAGATTAACCTGCTGGTGGCACAATACCCCCATGGCTAACCATTTTCCCAGTACCATTTATTGAAGTACACTTTTCTTCCTCCACATCACACAACTTGTTTTTTCATTGAAAATTTATTATCTACATATATCAGAGCTATTCCCTGGACTCTTAATTCTATTCAGTTTGTCTGATAATCTTCCTTTAGTCCAGTACCACAAAGTCTTGGTTGTTTGTAAAGCAGCTGTACTATCAGACCTGAGGAAAGGTCTGATATTGAAACAACACAATAGTAGTAGGAGATTTTTAATACTTCTCACTGCTAGATTGATATCTAGGCAAAAAATCAATATGGAAACATTGACCTTAAAGGAAGAAATGAGAGTTGGACTTAATAGACATATGAAGGACTCAATCTCCATCCCAAAAAGTACATGTTCTTCTCCATTCCATGGAACACTTTCCATGATAAAAGATTTGTCTCCACATGGTCAAGAAGATAGTAGTCACACCAAACTGTTTTCTCAGACCACAGTGCTTTAAATGTTGAAATTAATCACAAACACAGAAAGTGGGGAAAATCTTAAACAACCAAACAACTTGGTCAACAGCAAAGAGAAAACCAAAGAAAAAATTTTTAAATTGCAGGAAACAAATGAAAATGAAGTCATGAGTTATCAGAACATATATGAGACAGCAAAAGATTTTGTAAGAGGGAATCTCATAGCAATATAAATATTCATCAGGAGGATGGAATGTCCTGACTCCGTGCCAGACTGTCTTCACCGGGCAACTCGGAGTAGGGGCCGGGTTGAGTTTCCCTGCAGCCAAAACCCTCTAGAACCCATCCACACAGCCATGCTCAAGGCCACTCTCCATAGGCTCAGAGGAGCTTTACGTATGGGGGAACCTGCAGAAAAACCCAGGTATGCGGGACCCATAACTGAGATCTCCAAGCCTGTTCAGAATGGGACTGGACCTCCTCCCCCAGCTCCCCAGTTTCCCAGTACCTTGACCGTCACACCCACAAACTGCCTCCAGCGCCATGTAATCTCATCAATGGCCAAGATCCAGAGACTGTGAAATGAAGCTCCCAGAAGGGAGTGACACAGAACGTCCTGGAACATGCTGCTGCAAATGCGGCCTCGCGGCCTCTCATACTCTAGCCCACTGATGTACCAAAAGTAGCACACATTTGTTTGGGTTTAACATACATGCTTGTAATCTCTTATAGAAGGGCTTAAGTGGCTCCGGGATGAAATACAACAATCTTCACACACTTTTCTCTTATGGTGATGGAGAGATGCACGGTGGTGGTATTGGTGTTTGAATATTATCTGCAATGAACTATATGAACAACTTTATAAAAGTAAAATAAAATTAAAAAAATATTCATTAAGAAACAAGGCCCAAATAAAAACTTATTGCTTAGCTTAAGTCAGTATAAAAAAGACCAATAGAGGGAGCCCAAAATATTCCCCAAAGAAGGAAAGTAGTAAAACTTAAGAGTGAAAATCAAGGAGATAGAAACCCAAAAACAGAATATAAAAGATCAGTGAAACCAAGAACTTTTTTTTTTCAAGAATAAGCGAAATCTTCAAAACATTGGCTAAACTCACAAAGGAAAAGAGAAAACTCTGAAAATCCAGATCATAAGTAAAAGGAGAGACCTTTTAACAGACACCATAGAAATCCAAAGGCTTTTTCGGAGATTTCTCTGAATAACTTTATGCTGTGGATTTGGAGAACCTGAAAGAAATTGGCAACTTTTTGGAATCCTATAACCACCAAAACTGAGCCAGGAGGAAGCAGAATATGTGAACAGAGCAGTAACAGGGATATTGAAATGGTACTGAAATTTTTCCACAATAGAAAAAAACCCAGGCCCAAATGAATTTATTAGTGCGTTCCAAACCTTCAGATAAAATCTACTTCCTTTCCTTCTCAGGAACTTCCAGGAAATTGAAAACATAGGGATCCTCCTGAACAGTTTCTGTGAGGCCCAAAGCAAACCTGCATCACCAAAAAAGAAAATTATAGGCTAAAATTTATTTGCGAAATAAAATTATTTCATCTGATAAGCATAGATGAAAGAGCCTTGAGAGAAATATTAGCAAACTGAACCCAACAACACATTGCTTACTCTGTGGTCAGGTGGGATTTATCCCAGGGATGCAAGGATGATTTAATATGATTTAACATATGCAAGTCAACCCATGTAATATACCATATCAGTATAGGGAAAGAGTAACAAAACCAAGTGTGTTAGTAGATGTAAGAAAGCACTTGATAAGATCCAACACTCATTTATGATAAAAATTCTAAAGAAAAAAATGGGGATAGAAGGAACTTGCCTCAGTATAGTTGAAGCCAGTTCAGTTTAAGGCATGAAGCTGCTCAGATCCTGTGGTGGGCCACCAGGACCACCCCAGAATTGATTCTCCATCCTTCCTGCTC